AAATGCTTTCGCCTAATCATATAGATTCAACGAAACTGGAAACAATTCTAACCACAGATTTTAGTGGATAGAATTGATCAGATTTAGCGTAATGTTTATGTGCCAGATAACTTTCACGTTATATATGTGGATTTATGTCCATATATTACTATGATCATTTCAAGATACAGCAAGCTAGCTAAGTATGAAAATTCTTAAAAATATATCCAATATGTTATGTCAAACAAAACTTGAACTTACATAAAGTTTGCTGCGAAGACCAATTATATACTTCCGCACCAATTATATATGTCGTAAAATACACATACACACATTCATATAATGATAAAATTGTTTACCTCCATGATAAGAATGAGTATCTTCCGGATGAAAACGGAATGGATGTTCCATAATATGTAAGTTTTTTGGTAACGTTTGTTTGTTGTCGCGAGCCATTTGTGCATATTCAGTAAGATTTCGGAACGGACGTCCATAGAAGTCAATTAAATCACCAACTGTTTTCATTTGATGTAATTCGGAGTTGGGAACTACATGACACAATCTTTCACCTAACAAATCGAGAAGCTGAAACAATACGACGCTGAAAGAAACATCGTGAAGTCTACTGCAATAGCTTTATTGATTTTTGTCCGATAAAATTACTGATGTCTTTCAATGAATTAATCAAAACTTATATATAAAAGAAGCTCCAAACAGAATGAGCAAAGCAAACCTGAAATTTTAAGCGCCGATCCTTTGTAAGATCGATACTTCGTATATCATCATTTATATCAATAAGAACTTCATTCACAGCTTCCTTCACTTGACTCTCAAGATCATCTGGTGGTTTGTAATTATATCGATATTTTAAGAACCTGAAACTTTGAGTAAAATAAACTAAAAAGTCAGTTTTCTCTCATTTGTGTGAAATGTTATCATGGCCGATCACTGGAATTAGCAAATAAATGACCTTGAGGTTTGTAGTGAAGTTCAGGATTAAGAATTCAGGCTACAAAATATCTTCGAAAATTTATGGCTAAATCGTTAGTTAAATCAATTTACAATTACCACAGTTGTTTTTTCTAAACTTATAGTTAAATCAATTTATTGTTCGTTTCAAAGTTTGCAAAAAATAAAAGTCTAGATAGATGAATAGAAGATATATATTTCGGAACTGATAATCTATTGTAATTTGCAATTGTGATCTAAAATTAATACTGTAAAAAGATATATAAAACAAACCCTCTAGCTCGTATTGAATCCATATCAATTTTCTCCTCCGATGCAATATTCAAAAATTCATCATCCTCTGAATGATTCCGTCCTGCCGGTTCGTCACCTGATGCCAACGATGGCAACATTTTTTTCAACATACTCTAAAAATAAAATATATATTTTAAAAAATATGACTAAAATATCGCCATGCATTCCTAACTGTTGGTAATTGAATTCATTACTGAATTATAGCTGAATTTTAATGCTCAAACTATTACTCAACCAATACTTGATGTTTCATTTACGGTTGAACCAGCTCCTAAACATTTTGGCACCTAGCTTGTCATGTTGGAATATCCTAATAATCGAGCATTTATGCTTATTACCCGTACCACAACTGGTTATTTGATACTTAAATATTTCGACCTATTAAACAATCAAACTCATACTTAAGAATTTCATTACTTGAAGTCAGGTGGCTCTTGGATATTTGTACAAATTATTTACAAACATGCTTGAAGTCATGGAACACCTAAACTGGCGGTTCATTAACCACCGTTGTACATACATACTAAATCACACTGAAAGACGTTCAATCAACAACTAATAATTTTAAAAATCAATCTAGTTGACAACGACCACTACTACCATTGTTGACCACAAATATCATCTCGACTATCATTTAATTTCCCTATTTTAATCAATATTCATTCATCATTATCATCTATACAACAAACATGTTTTGGACTAACCTCAGCTTCATCACTTACTGTCATTCTTTCATTTACTTCTAACAGCTCCTTCTGACTTGATAACTTTTGCTCGGGACGTAATCGTGACAATATATTTCGCCATCGTACATAACATACACGAGAATAATTCATCCGCTTATTCCTTTCTTCTTGCCTTCATCCATGTAATAAAATTCTAAAATACATATGATAAAACAATCTAAGATAAAAACTGTCAAACAAAAAAAAAGAGAAGCTGAAAATGGCCAGTGAAAGTGAAACGCGCCCACTTCCCCTACAAATCAAGAAATGCTTATCTTCTAAGCTTTTAGAACAAATAAGTGGTTCTATGCAGAATGTTGGTATACGGTGATTTTTGTCTAAGCGCGTAAATTTACATTCGGGAATGATTAAAATACTTGTTGTTTCCGTCCATCGCGTTATAGTAGGTTCCGGTAGTTACAGTCTTCTAACCTATAAGTTACAGTGTCTTGCTTATACGGTATGGCACATATCGTAATAAGTCGGTGAACATAGTTTAATAGTTCTTCGGTACGACGTGTAATTCGTACATTGCACTTCTTATACCGTATTGTAGTAAACCTGTACACCTAAAATATAATATAACACATTTTTTTTCTTGTTACTGTATATCCATTATACTGCATTGTGGTGTATTTTTGTTAAGTGCGCATATTAGAGTACACTTTTATTATGGTACATATGTGGTATCTATGCATTGTATTAAATTTTTCATGATAACTTTAACTTATAAATAATACATTCAGATTTTGAAGAGACATACAGAGATGGATGGAAGTGGATGGGCAGAAGAAAGTTACGATGCGGGAATTGCTGGTGGTTGGGGTGAAGCATCGTTTGTGGAAGCTGATGAATTCAAAGAGAGTCAACGTACCGAGAAAGTACCGTTTCCAGCAACAGTTAAAGATCTTAGTCAATTAGCAAACAATGAAGAGAAACTGACAACTGGTAAATACACCTTCAGCACGGTAAGCTTTGCAGCATTTGCTGTGTGGAAAAATCTATTATCAGTATGATAAAAGTATAGTCAGTGAGGTTGATTGTCATAATTACCGTACAAATATTGTAACTGTATTTAGAAAATGTCACTGATATTTTTGTTGTGAGATATTTTAAAAGGAGAATTTTGGTGTCATTTTGTATAATTTGTAACGAAAAATTATAAAGCCGAAGTTAATGGAGAAAAAAAGCGAGAAAACAGAGAGTAAATAAAGAAAGGAGACTACTCTGCATTGCTTACATCTTTTGCAAAAATGTTCTAGACCGGACTAGATCTTCATTATTCAGACTCGAACCTACATGTAGGAATTAATTTTTTCTCTAATTATTGCTGATTATTATCCATCAAGATCTGATTGAAATGCAATTCAATCACTTGGAAATTTGTCATCAAGTGCTTCTTACAACGGTGATATGAGATGTGCTGTTGCGACTGAATGGAGCTAGTGACCTTGAATCTTTAAATATCTAATTTTAAGATTCGAGTTGTTGGTCGTGTGAAAGAATCGTTACAAACGGATGGAGGACAATCTATCGAATATACATTAGCCGATTATCATGATACGAATGCCACATTTCTCATTATTCACTATAGAGGCGTGGTAGTTTTTATCATATTGAATTTCCATCCAGAAATTTGCTGTCATTATTTCATTTCTCTCTTGGAAATTGTTAAAATTGAATCTGAAACGGTAGTATATGTTTTTGGGAATTCTACATGTAAAAGACACTTCCCCTGACTACTGTTTTATAATGTTAATATTTTTCAGCTCGCGAGTGCTGCTGCAAATTCAGATGCAGTAGTAGAAGGAACAGATGTTTCTGTTGTGGGAAAATTGCGGAGTTTTAGTGAACGACTTTGTATTGTTGCTTTTGATGTAAGTTATTGTATGAAAATATTTGTCGGGATGATTTCCACTAACTTTCTCTTTCTCCCAAAAAGAGTAAAGTTTTTTCGATCCGATGAAAACAATCCAGCTCATTAGCAATATTGACTGATGAGTTAATTTATAATTACTTCTATCTACTTTCAAATATATTGAATTGCAGGTTCGAGAGATAGAGGATAAGAGAGAGATTGATGCATTTCACTTAGAAGCCCGACTTGCTCGACTTTTCTATACAAAAGTATAACTTCTCCAAATATAAATAGCAAACAGTTCTAGAATTTTGTTGTGTATCAGCGATTTATCATTTAATGAGATTCGTTTGTGGCTTATCTCCAGTTTATTATTTCATCCATCAAATTCGATCTTTTCACACTATCTTCAATATCAATAAATTTTGCAAATAGGAATTGATGTTTTCGTGAAAATTTTAAATTTGTTTAGGATGTGCCGGACATAGCGTTATCAGAAAAATGGATAACTATATCTGAGGGTACAATGTTACGTGTAAACGATGAAGGTGCAGGACAAACAAAACAAACCAGTGATTGGAGGAGTAATGTTGGATCTAATCTAAAAGTAGCCAGTAATGCAATGCAACGGAATGCATTTTATTCAGCTCCTGATAATAATTGTCGTGGATTAACTGGTCAGAAGGCTGAGGTACATTTTTTTATATTCCCCTGGAAATTCAAACGATATTTAGTTTATGTTTGTAATTCCGAAGTAATGGATTATCTTATTTTGTACGAAATATACTGATTATTTCAGCCTTCTAGTTGAACTTTCAGATATTTAAATATTTACGTAGTAATGGCGATCCGGTTATTGGAGCTAGTATTGATGATATACGCACTGGCATTCCGAGAAATCACTTCAATTCATTCACATTTTCTGCTGATATGGAATATTTGGCTTCTGAAGGTCTGATTTATGCTACTTCAGATGATGATCATTATGCAGCTAATGCATAGTCTCCAGTGCGCGGTGAAAATAAGATCCTTGTACATTTACAGATCTTATCACTTTCGATCTATATGTTTATTTTAATAAATTTACTACTAAATATATATCTTTTCATTGCTTAAAAAAATTTCTATATCAGAGTGTCATATCCGATTTCTGTGCTATTTAGAACAGCAGTTTATCTCCTACATTTCTTACTGGTAGGTAATTGTTGAATAATGTTAAGTAGCAAATAAAATAAATTGGAGGATTGCTGGTAGAGTAGAAAAGATTCTTTCCATTGCGTTGAATATCCACCCAGTATATGATTCGGGAATTTTTGAAAAATGTGCAGTTTTGAAGATATCTTAATTGCAGTTAATTCAGGTTATATTTCATTAGATAAATTTAATTGTAAATCGAGATGGGAGAATGAATTCATCGTGTTGTTGATCATTTAAGTTTAATGATAGTGAGAAAAGCTTTCTCACTTTTTTCGTTGAATACCTCAATTTCAAATCTATATTTCATGTATTTCATTTGCTTTTTCGGTCTGTTTTCGATAAATTCGAAGTTTTTATTTTTGAGATTTTGTTTGACATATTAAGAATGTAAGTTAAGAGATCAAATAGATAAGACGAGTGAAGACATCCGTTCAAAACAAAAACTCCAATTGTAGTGATGAGAACGATCCTGTGTAATTTTTTCTCGTTTATGAAGAAACCAGAAGATTAATTAGCATATATGACTGGAATTTTTTACTGGTGATATTGTTTCCTTTTCAACGAACTGTTTATCATGGTTTTTTTTCGGCATGTTTCTTGGTATGTTCTATAGCTTTCTTTATAAATGTTTGTTTATCCTGCAATGTTTCAAAAGTCATTATTTCGAAAGTCATTCACAGACACTTGTGAAGTACTTTACCTCATAGATTTGTTCAGCAATTTGATGACGAAGTGGACGTTCAGGTTCTGGATCGTTGAGCAGGAATATCAAGGATTGTATTACTGGAAGGTGAAAATTCCTGATACTTATGGCGTTTTAAAATATGAAATACAT